AATGTAAGATAATAATAATAATAATAATAATAATAATAATAATAATAATAATAATAATAATAATAATTAGCAACGTTCTTTGCCACCCCATTTGATGGTGCAAGCGTCGCTTCTTCCTACCAACCGTCGTTTTTGCTCTCTTCCTTCTTTTTGCGCTCTTCGAAGAGACAGTAAACTGTTGCAATTTTTGTAGTGAGTAGTTGATACGGACACCTAATGATTATGATTCGTATGTCATGTTTTATAATTGTTTGGAGCGGATATATATCTTTATACACTTGACTAAATAATTGTTTTTTTAAAGAAAACTACAGATTCTTATATCACGAGGCAAGGAAATGGTAAAATTCCTAGCATAATAAATAAAGGCTTACAAGAATCACGTGTATGGGATTATTATCGACAAATATGTATGAATTTCGCTAAGCTCTCTATTTGTCGAGATCTCTTTTGCTACTTGTGAGAGGAGTAGAATCGGGGTTGTAATTTTTTTTGTTTTTCAGGAATACTATAAAATTAAGTTAGTAATTCGTTTGTCATTGCAAAAAAAAGTTTCGTGTTACTCAGGAGTGAAACTTTCGCGTGTTTAAATGTTGTCAGTCATGATTGATAGGTCCATCTCATAATTCAAGTGTGTATAGTAGGAGAGGGGGTACGAGAGTTCTGGAGTTGAGGAAACCGCTCTTCAGACCTCTTCGCTGTACGTCGCATAGTTCACTGTTTTTAGAGGGAAAAATATACTTGTAGAACCAATTGTGGAATATACAAACTGACGTAACATGATCTTTCCTCGATAACTGTTGTCCTACTGCAACAATGTTTACTTCAGCGAATGAACGCATTCACCTATGCTTCTACACGTGTTTCTATTTCCGACTTCATTAGCTCGATACATTATTAATGAGGAACTACATCAAATTATAATTTTCTCGTCACATCAGCAATTTCAACTGCCTAGTACTTACCGCAAAATATGTAGATTGTGGTACAGGGTCACTTACTGGGCACTTATTTTCCTTGGAACTTGTATGACTTATTACAGATGGTCGCAGATTTAATTCTGCCTCTCCATCTTGGGTAGATGTGCCAGGTATTGCCTGCGATTGGAATTAGAAACTCATTATGTCTGATGAATTTCAGGGAAAAAACCTACCCAAACGATTCCGTAGTTGACATTTTGATTTTCGTAGATATCATACGATAACAAAACACATTTCAATTAATTCCAAATTAAGAATATACAGTTGAGAATGAAAGTATAGTTTTGTGTACTATGAACGCGACGCATTCATATACACGTCGTTTTATTGGCATAAACGTTCCATTAAAAGATTCGCAACTGAGAAACAAAATATTCCTCGTTTTCATCAGAAATTAAGTCTTATTTCTAAAAGTATTTTCTTATGAATTTGTAATTGCCAAATATGCCTCACTTTACAATGTAGAGTGAGTTATCGCGCTGTAGTAGCTTTCCAGCCGAGTAGTAGTGCATACTGAGTTTCTTCTGAGCTCATAACAAATCGTACGTTTATCGAAAGGTGCGAGAACAAGAGGAAATTATTATTAAATTGCAAGTTGTTCTTGTCACAATTCAATCAGACGGCGTGCGTTGCGTGCGTGCATATTACAGTCGATCAAAGGTATGTTCGGTAGATTTCTAAAGAATGGAGGAGGATGTACTGACCTGCGGAGCCAATGGCACGTCTGCACTACCACTTGTTGAAGGAAGAGCTAGATCTGTAGATGTGCTTGCGGTAGCCTCCGTTGTTGGAAGTGGCGCTGCGGGGCGCTCAGAGTCGCCAGTGCCCTGCGAAGAATGCTCGGGATTAATGCAGAGCATCTTAAACATTGCATCTCACCCTCGTCATTTGCATATAGATAGAGGTAAATAGTGTAACGACATCAATAGTGTCCACTGAGCCAATACTGGCCATTTCAATCACAAAATATGCAAAACGAGATTAGGTGACTTTCCGGTCGCCTCCCAAGAAGTATAGCTTGTGCCTTCTAGTGATGATTAATTGAATTATTTAATTAACCAACACAACCTCTTCGCCTTGTATTGTAATGTTAAATATATCCAACCTATGGGAAGATTTTTCCCTCTATTAGTAACACCACGTTTGTGAAACAACTACTACTAAAGGTAAAAGGCAATATTTGTAGCTGTGCGAAGATACGTTTAAATATTTTTTTTATTTTCACTTCCTAAACACAGAAATGTTCCAGACAATATTCAACTAAAAGGCCTGTACACGTTTGTGATTCGTGCCAATTTTACCTGTCCAATGTTTTACTGCTCTGTCTACCGTATCCCATGCTTAA